AAAGTATATTAATAATCAAAATAAAGATTTTATTACTATTTTAAATTATTATCAAATATTAAGAATTAAAAATTTATTTACTTCAAATAATGACATTATAATTTTTTAAATTGATATAAATGTTAAATATTTTACACAAGAACAAATTTCATAAATTAAATATAAATAATTGTTTTCTGCTATAAATTTCGTATTCAATACTATAAAAATTGGTTTTTAAATTTATTTCAAAGTATTTTTCTCATTATTTGGTTATACTTAGATAAAAACAGAGTGTTTTAAATGATTCTCTAAAAAAATATTAATGCCTCCCAAATTCGCAACATTGTTAACTCATATTAAGTTGATTATAATGTAATAACAGTTGGGTAAGAGAAGGCTCTAAAACAACAAACCTTCTTTTTATCCATTGTATATAGGAATCGGGCACGGTGACAAGTGCACACTCCTTAAATGCATATTATTTTCCCTGATCCAAACTTCATGGAGATTCCTAGAACAGAAACTCTGAAGTTCCACCTGACGCCATTACTTAAAACTAAAGGTAGAAGCCTCCTCTATAGCTATACAAGAAAAATAGACATGTCTCTCAGAGCCCTTCTAATTTCAAGCCTTGACTATGGATTCGCATTTTTGAACCCTACTTTCAATTCAAGCCAGGTTTAAACGTGGTCAAATAATTATCTTTTAAAATAATATTAACCAAAAAGTTAATCTATTTATGAATAATAAAGGAAATATAGTGTATCAACAGTTCAGCTAATAATTGACCATCTAATCTCGCAGAAAATTAAAGGTAGAAGCCTCAAGAATAGAACAAGATTCTTAAAGAATTCTATGAGCAATATCTAAATAGTTCTTAATGTTTACTCAGAACTCATGTAATGCAGGAGGATAAGAATATATTCAATAATTGAAAATTAAATAAAAAGGAAATCTATTTATTGATTAATTATATTATTACGGGTCTGAAAAAAAAAAGATGTTTTATACTATGGTAGAAGGGATGGGAGAAAAAATGTGAAGAAATTATTCATCTTGAATTTAAAATAATATTATCAATAATCCACAGAATCCACATTAGTAATTGAATTGAAATGACCATGAATCATTCTATGTAAATTCTGAGTGGGCACTTGTTAATTTTTTCTTATAAATTACTTAAATGTATTCCATAATTTTTCTATAGGATTGAGTTAAGGGGAATATGGTGGTAAAAATAGATGTGGTATTGCAGTTAATAATTTTTAAACCAATTTCGATTTATGAATAGGGCTGTTGTCAAGAACAAGCACAGCATTTCTTTCATTATAATGAATTTTTACAAGCCTAATTAGTTATATAAGGTGGTAACAATAAATCTTACTTGTTACATAAAATTTGGATTTGATTTTACTTCGATAGAAATATTCTATTAAATTCTTAAGCTACTCAAAAGAAAATTATGACTTTATTTATTTAGATGAGGTTTCCTTAGGCCATTAGAGCAGATAGAACAGGTGTTGGTAATTGATATAATAATAAAGATTATCAAATTATCAGAAGTGGACAAACAATATTGTAATTTTAGGAGCAATTGGAACATATAACTTTTTATGTTAAAAATTCATTATAATGAAAGAAATGCTGTGCTTGTTCTTGACAACAGCCCTATTCATAAATCGAAATTGGTTTAAAAATTATTAACTGCAATACCACATCTATTTTTACCACCATATTCCCCTTAACTCAATCCTATAGAAAAATTATGGAATACATTTAAGTAATTTATAAGAAAAAATTAACAAGTGCCCACTCAGAATTTACATAGAATGATTCATGGTCATTTCAATTCAATTACTAATGTGGATTCTGTGGATTATTGATAATATTATTTTAAATTCAAGATGAATAATTTCTTCACATTTTTTCTCCCATCCCTTCTACCATAGTATAAAACATCTTTTTTTTTTCAGACCCGTAATAATATAATTAATCAATATATCTAGAGATAAATTAGTATAATAAAATAAAACTGAAACTCTTGAAATAAAAAAAATAAATTAAAATTCACTAATGCATATTATCGATTAAATAATATTACTTAAATTTGTAATTGTATAATATCTAAATTATATTATGAAGTCTCATATTTTTTTTTATACAAAAGATCCTTTTTTTCTGCCTTTGAAATATTCTCCCTAATATATTGTTCTTCTAGCTCTATATTGATATTTGTAAACTTACATCCAAAATTCTTTGTGTAAATCTATCCATTAACCCTCTTTTTTACCATTCATGTCATAATTACCTCCCCCACTAATTTTTCTATTAAAATATTTACACATTTTTCAATAAGTTTTGTTATTTTTCATCAAATTCTTTAAATAGGGTATCCCATCTTCCCTGTTTTTTTCCACATTTGTATTCTCCTGAAAACTTTACATACCGGTTTCTTTTAAACTTTAAAACTATTACTATGAAAAGCTCTCAATCAAATCAATCCATTTGCCATATTTTATCCCTTTTTCATCATAATTTCCCCCACCACTTAATATTAACTATCTATGATACATGATTGCAAATGAATCATCACACTTTTATCTAAAAATTGTATCCCATCTTCCAAATTTCCTTCCATTTATATAATCTCCTTCATAAGCAACAAATTAGTCAATATAATTATTCTCATCCAAATCTATCCAATGGCCTTCTTTTAAGCCATTTGAATTATAAATCCTTTTCCCCTAAAAAATTGTTTATTTTAACAATTTACATAATAACTAACCCTACGTTAAATAGAGTTTACCAAAATCCAAATTTTTAGTCATTCTCAAAACTACCTAATTCAATAAATTAATTATATCTAAAATATTTTCTTCTTACAATACTTATTAAAATTTTTCCTTAAAATCCTCCATTAACCAGTTTTTCTTCCATTAAAATCATAAATTCCTAACCCACTTATTAATCTATCATCTGATACATCAATTAGTTGCAAAAAAATGTTCTCCATTTTCCTATCCTAACTCCATTTCTATATTCTCCAATACAAGTAATAGGGTCTCTGCTTTATGATAAGTTTTAATTAGTATGTACAATATGGAATTTTCATGTAACTCCATCCATTTTCCATTTTTCAATCCATTTTTATTGTAAACACCAACACCACTAAATTAAACATTCAAATACATTTAAGTAATCTCAGCGTCTATTCTCATCATACATCTCCAAGTTCCTTTTTTTTTTCCATTGAAATAATTCCCTGAATGTGTTATTTCAAATTATCTATTATTATATTAAATATTTACTAGGAAAAATTTTCATCTAATTCCACCCATTATCCTTATTTTTTTCCATCAAAGTCAAAAATTCCTCCTCCACTTATGATCAGAAATTGGATTACATTAATTATTCAAATGTTGTAGTGTTTTTCTTATACTTTATTTACCATTATCCGTGCTTTCTTCCCTTCAAATATTTTCCAGAATAATGAACATAGCATTAACTATGATAAATCTAAATGACACTTGAAATAATTTTCATGTAGTTCAATCCAAAATCCATTTTTCTATCCATTTTCATTGTAAATCCCTCCTCCTCTAAAATTTATAATTTAAATTAATTACATAATTTTTTCTTAATATTTGGTATCCCAGAGACCCGATTTTTTTCCTTATTTATAATTGCCAACATAATAGACTCTACATTTACTTTAATTATAATAATCATTACTTAAAAAATAAGTCGTCTATTTCAACCCATAATCCTTACATCAATCCATTTTCATCATAATTTCCACCTCCACTATTAATTATAATTATAAAATACAAAGTAGTATCTTTAAAATATATACTCCATCTTCCTCTCTTTTTCATCTCTATATTCTCCTTTCAAAGTTATTGAAGATTGACTAATATATTTTAACACTCTTACTCCCAATAATTCTTAAACAATTCTTTCCAAAGACCTTATTTGATTCCTTTTTCATCATACTATCCACCAATATTAAGGTTTTCGTATTTCCAAAAAGCACTCCACTTTCCAATTTTATTATTATTAAGCAAGACTCCTTCCCATGATAAATATTATATTTCATCTAAATTTCTAATGATATCTGATTATTTAATTTATGTCGATGTAGGCAAACTATTTAAGAGGTAGATTTGCTTCTTTACATTTTTTAAATTGCTCCATCATAAATATAATATAAATCCCCATTTGAAGATTGTTAAATTATATAATCAGTTTTTTAATATCTCCAATTCAAGCCAGCATTATAAATACCTTTATAACCTCTTTCATTCCAAGTGATCATTAAATTAAAACAATCCTACTTTTTAATTAAATAATATTTTATTTTTTGTTGAGTTTAATTGAATTGAATCGGATTACTTAGACTACACAGATTAGATATAATTTATGAATCCAAGAAAAATAAAGGCTTAAAATAAATAAATATGATCATTTTTATTAGAGTATTAAAGAAATAACTTTGATAACCCCCCACCTTTTATAAAATTATTCAACAATTTTTTTACTTCTATTTAGAAAATCTATAATTATTAAAATATTTAGTATTTAAGTCTTGTTTTTATGAAATTTAAACTAAATTAACTTCTAATTAGAATTTCAAAATATTTAAATTAAATAAATCTTTGAATCTGTTTTTTTATTAAGATATCCAAAATCATTTTAAAATATTTGTCAATTTTTGTAAGAAATTAATTTAAACTTAAAACTTTTTAATTCGCTAAATCTATTCATGTTTTTAAAACAAATCATAACAGAGATGCCCCATAAGGTTCTTATTTATAAATTCCTTTCTCTTGCTAACCCTTCTGATAAATTATTATTTAAACAATTTTCTCAAACTAGTTTGATGTCAAATTTTATTAACCTGATGTCCCCCCCACAATATTCTGTTTCTCTTGAAAATTTTGGAATTTCAATAAAATAACAATTAATAAACCCATAAATTTTTGTATTTTAACAAAAATGAGCATATTATTACATATCTTCAGGTCTTTTCATATCCATATTTAAATACTGACAATACTCATTTTATTAAATAGCAGAGTAACCTTTATATAGGTCCAAGTCTTTTTATTATATTTAAAATGAATAAAATTAGACAACAAGATTGGTGATTGAATATTTCATTATTTAAATAAAATAATATATATAAATTAAATCACAGTTATGGAAATGAATTCTGAGTTTCAAAGAATTAAATTTACATTTCCTGTTATAGAGAAATTTATATTAATGGTATTAAATCAATAGAAATAGGACTTAAATAAAAAAATAGCTTTGGAAGATTTGAAATTCACATTTACAAATATTTTAAAGATAGATCTATTCGCAAAAAAGCTTACTTTCATGATTAACAAAAGTTTCAAATAAATTGAGTTGAATTCACAACAATCTCTAAAAGGGCAAATTGCTTTAGAAAATCATAAAAAAGAATAAGCTCCTATTGAAGTGATTGTCAAATTTTTTGAAGAAGGAGCATGATAAAAGTTGATACAAATATATAAATTAATTTATTCAAAGAGTTCATTTTGTTTTATATAAAATTGGAAAACTTCAATCATATTTTATATATTCTAGACAATTAATTCATTAAATAAACCAGTGTCATAAAAATTTGAATTCTAACAGAAATGGCTGTGATTCAAAATTTATTCCTTTTGGTTTCAGCTTTATTTTTTTCAAAAAATTGTATGATTTTTTGAGCTAAGTAAAGCTTGGATCACATTTCATAGTTAGTTGGGGAGTAAATTCAAATTACCCTGTATATTCTAATTTTTATTATTAATTAATTATGATATTGAATATTTTCTTTTTTCAAATTAGCAGAGATATTGATTAAAGTATTCTATTTTTTCTACAAGTTATTATTATATTATAGTATGTGTAAAATCAGTAAAGTGAGAGACTAGTGGATTCTCCAAAAATTTGAAAAAACTATATTCTTACTATATTAACTGGAATTATCATAAAAATATGAAAAATTTAGAGAAATATTACGTTTTTAGTTGTAGGATATTTAATCATAAATGTTTCTTTATGGTGGAAGGGTTTTAGCACCATAATTAAAATTTAATCTGATTAATAATAAAATAAAAATATTCTTATATGAATAATGCATATAGATTATTAAGTAAATGATTTTAAATTATCAATACTATTTATTTATCTTTCACCCTCTATGAGTAAGCTAAATAAAAAAATCAAATAAAATATTATAATTTAGAATTGAAAAAAAAATGAAAAAATTATAAAAATATAAAGTTATAAGTTTACCAACAATAAATATAGAATTTTATTATAATCCTTTCTAAATCTTGAAAAATTGTATAATTGTAAGAAATAGATACTAGTTAAAATACATTTTTGATAGTTTTGTAAATCAATTTCGCTAAATGATATTAAAGATTTAATAACTCTATTTTAATTGATTTTTTTTAATACTTAAAGTCCAAGCATACATTTAATTAAAAATAGATATGCAAAATTCTATATTTTACAGAAGGGCAACTTAATAATTTAACAGTACTTTTTTATAATGTTTTTGCATTATTTTTAGGTTACAAACTAAGAACAGATGACATTTAGACATTTAAAGATTGTTTAGTTTATTTAGAAAATACTTTAAAATATCTATATCAAAATGAATTAAAGTTTTCTAATTTGGATAAGATTCGGCTTGTTTCTATGACGATGGGGACTAAATATCGCCTAAATGTGAATATAGGATTACGAGGCCTGGTCTCAAAAATTTCCACAGTAAATTTGCATTCTTAAACTTTCCTTGACTACTGATAGGATGACATCTAAGTTCAGAAATATGTCGATTTATAAATCTTCTCAAATTCTTGAATGGACAGAAGTATCAGTATTTGATTATAATTTGATATTTCCTCAAAAATTTCCTTCTCGATTGTAATTCCGTAATCACTTAAAACCTTTATTGGTCAAAATATTTATTTTAATTATGTTTTTAATTAAATATCAATTTGGTATAACAATAAACTTCATAATTTAATTGATAAATTGATAAGAATAATGTTTAGAAAAAGGATTAAAATATTAATTAAATAAACAAATTTTTCAAAACTATTATACATACAATCTTATATTTTATTTACATTAAATAAATAAAGTCATTATTTAATCTTTAATAAAAAAATCTTTTAATATATATATAGGTTATACATGTTTGCTTTTCACAATAGTTGTCATCATTAATTCATGAATCTAATTTCACTCTTGAACCTTCGTATGCTATATAAGAAAGAATATAATGCGAAACTCTTTAGTAAATTTAAAAAATTAAATTCATAATCCACCACTTTCTGAATAAGAATATGGGCTTTAATAATTAAAGGAAACTAAGCAGTTATAAGTAGATGATCGAAAAGCAGAAATAGAGTACCAAATTTAAATTAATGAATAATAAAAGTCTATGTCAAACCTGCATTAATCCCCTAATAATCCTAATAATGTTATAATTGAATAAGTTTAGACAAAAACATACAAGCAAAGAAACGTATTTAATATCATAAAATCAAGATTTTTCAATTTATGAAAGATAATTGGTAAATTAGTGTTAAACTAAAGTAGATCTATAATACACTAATAACGCTTAGATATATATAGGTAATAAATATCTCATTAAAAATGAATTTCTAAACTAAAAAATATAAATACAATCTAAATTGTAAAAATAGATTGTATGTAACAAATCAGAAATTTCTAAGGTTTATTAATCCATAAAATACATTTAATATTAACAATACAAAATATGTAAAAAAGTCAAAAAATTAAAAATTACTTTTTAAATAGTAAAGTATAGAAAATTAACAGAAAAGTATATTTTTGATTTTGCAAAAGCAATTTAGATTTTCAAACACTCAACATTATAAATTATAAATTTGTTTTCTTATACCTCCTATAGATCAGAATAACTTTTAAAATTAGATAAAAATATTAATTTCTTTAAGAACTAATTAATATATCGATTATTTAATTATAGAAAAGTAAGACTATATTTGGATTGAATTTAATTAATCTAAATAATAATATTGCCATTAGTTGGGCAGTTATTTTAATTGTTAAAATAATACAGTATATTTAATTCTACTAGACTCGTATGAAACTAAGATATTAAAATAGAGTTTTTGGAATATCAATTTTTGAATAATGAAATCTTTAATCATATTATCATTTAACAATGATAGTGTTCATAGATTTGTTTAAATTGATTGACATACGAAATGGTTTAAAATAAAAATTTTTAAAATACATAAACATTTGAATTTTGAAAAAATATAACATTATAAAGATAGAATTTTACTAATTTTCTGAATCAATTTTAATAATTATAAGTAATATAAAGTGAAGTAAATATTTTATTGTATATAAATGTATTTATGAGAATATACATATAGAAATGTAATTTTTAAAATAATTTATAAAATAAGAAGCTATATACATTTATAAATTTAATATAAATCATATCTTCACCTAAACTAAAGTCTAGTTATTAAGCAAAGATTTTTATTAATTTAATTCTCCAATTTACCTAAATTAGGAAAGTTTCTGGTTTTGAAATAATTTTATGAAAAAAAAACCTAATAAGAAACTTATAATTCGATTTTTTTAGCAATAGCTCTTATTTAATTATTTCTTTAAAAAATGATTTATTATAATTTTAGTGGATAAAACCAATTATATAAAAAGCATGCTAAAGTTCATAATTAGAAAAAATTTGATTTAGGAAATATTCTTGAGCTATTTAAATTACTTAATTAGCATAAATTTTTATAATTTTACAATAAGAATATAACCCTGAGTTTTTAATTGATTATGCTTACCAAAAATATATTGTTTCATCTAAATTAAATAGAATTCATACACAACTTTTTCATATATTATACATAAATAATCTTTATGAAAGCTTGTTATTTATTCTTAAAAATGTATAAACATTCCATATATTTATGATAAATTATGTTATATTTTATCCAAACTTAATGAAAATTAATTATAACAGAAATCCTAAACTATTTTTGAATGAATTTTAAGACTTGATAAATTAGCATCGTAATTAAAGGGAATAATTCTATTAATAGAATTTCTAAATTTAACTAAAAAATTGAAATTATATATAGAAAAGCTTTATTTTATGAATATCAGCAAAATAATATTTATTAAAATATATTTTAATAGATTTTGAATCTTTAAAAATGAGTTTGTAAATTAATATAAATAATAAATTAAATATTAAGAAAATGATTTAGTAATAGAATTTAAAGTTAATATGTTTATAAGATGGTCATTAGGATGATATCGACATGATTTGTTACAATTAGTATTGTAAAGAATTCAGATTAAATTGCTTTTAATGTATTAAGAAAGGAATCCATTTTGCTCATTAAGGAGATGTTGAAAAAATCAATAGTATTGTAGAATTCATGGATAATTAAAATATAGAATGTGATAATTTAATTGATAATCTTATTACAAAAATAGAAAGTGTTAATTAATAATTTTCTTAATTATTAAGTGGAATCAGAAAGAAATATTCATTACAAAAGGAAAGATTAAAATATTTGAATTCAGAATAAATTAATGATTTCTTAAATTCATTCATCTAATTCACTGAATACAAAGAATAAATTATAGCAAATATTTCAGAATAGATTTAGAATTTAAATAAATCATTTGATAATTTCTATTAATAATTATAATTATCATCAATTAATTATTATTAAATTAATGATTAGAATAGTACAACTAAAGATTGCTGTAATTAAGGTAATTATATCATTAAAATAACTTAGGTTATTAATTATATTTGGATGGTAAGTATGATTAGGCTATAGAAATATTAGATAAGTCAATATAGTAAGATCCCAAAGATCATTTATCTTTATGGTGTAAAGGTAACAATAAAGAATATTAATAGGAGATTAGTTAAAAAGATTAAATTTATTTGAAGAGGCAATCACTTTCTTAGACAAAGCATTAGCTATTGATCCTAAGCATGTTGATTCCTTATGCTGGAAAGGTAGATTATTCTAATTAAATTAATAGGTGATTGTCTAAGAAGATTAAATAAACATGAGGATGCAATCACTTGGTTGGACAAAGCATTAGCTATTGATTCTAAGCATGTCTATTCCTTATGCTGGAAAGGTAGATTAATAGAAATTTAATTAATAGGTGAATGTTTAAGATAAATGAAAAAATATAATGAATCGATTAAATTACTCGATTAGGCACTATTAATTGATCCACAACATATATCATCTCTTAAATCCAAAGGTATTTATTATTATAATTTTAAGGATTTTGTTTAGAATATTAATTAAAGTACAAAGAAGCTCTGATTTATTATGAATTAGTATTAATGTTAAATCCTAATGATCAGTGGACAAAAATAAAAATAGGTATTCAAAAAAATTAAAATTAGATTTTTGTAAAAATTAATTGAAACCTTGAATATTCAATTTAACAAAAAAATATATCATTATTTTTTATTTTTGCCGCATTATTAGAATTAGGTTTTTTTATATGTTTTTTGATTTATTTATCTTTATTACTTTTAAAATAATTGGGTTATAATTTATGAGAAATGAATTTAGCAACTCATTAAAGAAAACATGTTTGAATTTCAATAAAAAATTCAACTTTAGAACAATATATTTATTGTTTAAAATTCATTTTTTTCCTTTATCCACATAAGGTAAATTATTGATTATAATAAATGAATGATTTAACTAGAATTGATATCCCATCTAAATTAAATAAATTAACATATGGCTTTTATGTAGGATAATTGTTCACTTTAATATCATCTTTTGTAAAAATGAGTTAAAAGAGTTCAAAACTATTTTTTCAAAAGAATTGAAATTATTCAAAATAAAAAACAAGTTAAAATGAAACTATACAAAATTATTGCAATTTTTATGTTAAATATTATTTTGAATTTGAAATAAGGATACGAATTTCTAATCTTTTGTATTAATTATATATATTTGAATATTGTTAAATTTAATTTAAATCGAAATGCTATCAATAATATAGTTATGGTAATTGAATTATTACTGAATTAACTCTAATAGAAATATGTTTAGTAAATTTTAATTAATGATATTTGGATTCTTAAATAAATTTAAAATAGTTGCAGGTTACAAATACCATAGCAATTATTTTCATATCAGAACATGTAAACTATGCTTTTGTAGAGATGTCTAGTTTGTATTAATGAATTTCATATTAATCACCCAAAATATGGCATATAAACTTAAAAATTAAATTTCTGAATTGGATTTCTACATACAATTTTAATTTAAGAAAATTAAAATATATTCTTATCTATATGACAATTATAAAATCAACTAAAAATTCTATAATCTAATGAACATTTCTTATTTACTTTATATTTGTTTATAATCATTAAAAAAAATTCAAAATATTACACCTGTTTTGGTTGCGACTATAAAATTGAAGAAGATTTCAATCCTTTCATTAGATCCAGCCTATAATTAATTTTTTTGCTAGTGAATCATCTCCCTTAAAGATCAAACTCTATTTTTATGACGAAATATTTATTTAAAATAATGAGAACAATACCATACCGAAACAAGCTTTCAGATATAATACTAAGGGAATTGTATTAAAAAACAAATTCAAAAGTGTTATCAGAAGGCCTGCTAATTCGAGAATAAAATAGATTGTTTAATTTCAGAATCATTATTTAAATTATAATAAATTTTAGAAAGATTTGAGGTATAAATTTTAGATCTTTATGAATATACTTGGATTTGTGTAAATTGAGTGTTTAAGGATTTCAATATATTGACTATAAATTAATAATCAAAAAGAAACTTTAAAGTTTGAGTATGATGTTTTTTTGATGCAGTAAGGGTTGCGAGTTCTTTTCGAATGATGATGTGTTACTAATTAGCTCCATCAAAGAGAAAAAAAAATTAAATAATAATAATATGGAATAAATCAGAATCACCGGCTTAGGAATCATAATAGTAAAAGGAAGGAACACCCCGATAAACAGTTAGAGATAAAGTGCTATTGGTTCCTTTTACTGTTTATATTCTAACCCATTTTAAAAAGATGTTGGAGTTCTTTTCATGAAATAGTAAATTGATCTCTTATATTTAAATAACACTTTTCTGTGATGATAGCTTTATCAACATAATTTTCATAGGTTTCTCTTGGATCAAATCTAATTCTTCTAATTTAATTTATTTTATTCCTATTACTTTTATGGAATAATCTACTATTGCTGCTGCAGTTGTTAAAATAAAATGCTCTGTATTTTATTATCAACAATATTTTTGGATATTTTTTATCTTGAAAAAATAATAGCTGAGTGTATCTAAAGATCCTTTTGAAGGCACTTTAGCGTTTTTTGAGTTAAGTTCAGATGTTAAATGAATAAGCTATTGACATTTAGATTCATTTACCAAAGAATTATAAATTACAAAAAATTAGATCTCTATATATTTGGATCACCAATATTGAAAATTGTGTTGAGAAAAATGAAATATGGATGGTGATTTAACATTTCATCAAAATCAGATTAAATCCTCAATAGATCTCTTTGGATATTTAGTCATTTAAAATACATGCCATGATATTTATTTTTTTAAACTAACTTAGTTTTTATTAGAGATAAATATGTAATAAATTTGAGAAGTTAAATAATGAATAAAAAAAATTGTAGTTATGCAATAATATATAATTAATAGTGTTGAAATTAAGATCACTTCTTCAATTTATAGTTTAATAATTAATATTTGTTATTAATTTTCATTTTATTATTATTATATTTTATAATCCAACTTAAAATATTTTTAAATCTTATTCTAATTTATTCTAAATATCAATAATCCTCTATAAATATCTTATTTACTACAAATGGTTGGTTTATTCCTTGAGATTAATATCATATTTACATTTATCTGTTTGCTTTGTCATTCCCCTTTTAGTTATATCAATTTTTACATTGAAAAAAAAAATTAAACATTAATATATAGTCCTACTCTACATTATAATTACTTTCTGTTTGATTTTTAGTTAATCATGTTGATATAGAATTATTTCACAAGATAAGTCTTCACTTAAATTTAATCACTATCCTCCTTTTTTTTAAATTCGATTTTATTAATTTTTTCTAAACCTAAAAATAGAGATACCAAAGGCAAAATTTATCCAGCTTGGAACCATAAAACTTACCTTCTTTTTTTAATTTTTGAAGGAATTACATTATATTAATTTTTAATACCCCAATTAAAAATCGATTAATAAAAAAACTTATCACCATTAATCTCAAAAGTAATTATAAAAAGAATAAAAATAATAAGTATTACTCAATTAAACCCAATACTTATTATAATGGAGAATCGGACTATAAATGAATTTTTTTAATTAAATTTGAAAGATCTATATATAGAATTGTCTATAACTTTTAAAATATACGATTAAAATATTTGAGTGTTTAAACAATATATTTTTTAAGCATAGAATTACTTTATTGTTATAAATTAAGGTTTTTAATTGACTTGAATTGGAGGTTCAAATACAATTATTAACGGAAATATAAAATTATTAATTTATTTTAAATAAAAATTACATTAAAAAATATATTTTTTGTGGGGGCTGAGCCACTAGTGACACCACATTTTAGAGAGATTTATCGTCTACAAAGTGACAGCAGGAGTGGAGGTGAAGTTATGAAATGTATATCATCGAATATAATCAAGTAAATTTAAGGCTAATGTCTCAGGACTAATTAGTCCAAGCATTTAAACGATAAATCAATGCAGTCAAACTTTCTGAAAACCTCAATTCACTTTAATTAACCCTAACAAAAATCAACCTTTCTGACATTCTTTCTTTCATCTTCATCACTTAAATTATTTGTTTTCTTTACAATTCGATATTTAAAATATAATTATATATTATGAGTGTTTGACATAAATTACTACAATTTCTCATATTACTATGGGGAAGCCTTTCTTATATTTACCCCTAAACATCCTAATTATATTTTTAATTACATTTTTTTTAATATGAGAAAAAAATTTACAAGTATCCATATTTTATTTATTCTAAATTCTACATGGGTCATTACATTAAGAATAATTTTTTTTAGGAAAACTTAAACATCCATATCTCGGTTTTTTTTTAATAAATTGATATGCTAAAAAAACTAGTAAATATAGAATTAATTTATAATATATACAATTTCTCTAAATGAACATTAGTGATATTTAAATTAAGCTTTAACAAAGAAATGATAGTTTTTGATTCAAATTTTAGTTTATTTTGAAGAATTTATAATAGAGGCGCTATTATTTCTAAAAATCCATTAAGCTAGAATCAAAAATTTACTATGTAACCTTAAGATTCATAACCTTAAATTTATTTTATTTGATTGCAAAAAAATGTATTATCTTTTTATCTCAATATCTTAAAAATAAAAAATTATAAATATTATTCGTGATTATCATAGAATTTTAAAGAAAATTATGTAAATTCCTAAATAGTAAAAATTATAAAGTTTATTTTCTTATGAGTAAGTGAAAAAGTAATTTAGGAAATTAATTAAAACTAATAAGTATCTTTTCAGACTATTTAAAAAAAGATATGTTTATATTAAATCATTATTTAGGTATCTTTCTTTTTTGTTATATTTAGAGATAAATATTATTATTATTATTATTATTATTATTACTATTACTATTATTATTATCTTCATTTTTTGTTTCTTCATAAAATTTATCATATGAATTGAGTACATCTTTTAATTCCGGTTCATCTAACCAAATCATTGAAACTTCAGCTTTTAATGTATTATATTCTTCTGATTTCTCTTCAAAAATAAAGCCTTCATTTAATTATTCACAGTTTTCATAGTTTTCTAATTTCTCAAATTCTTTTATGTACTTTTAGATATCATCATCTTATATATCCACTATATTTTCAAGTACTTCTGGCTCACTTTATAAT